GAAGAACGGAGGGGTCCTTTGTGTCTGTCTTGGGCTGGCACCCAGTATTCATTCCATGCTGTTCTCCGAGAGATGTTTTGCTGGACAGCTCCCAAGTGACTCTACTTGGACCAGACAGAGACAGGCCCACTAACTCAGCTTCATTTCGTGTTATTAAAAAAAAAATCCTGCCAAGCCTGGGGTTCTAATATACTTAAAATTGATAATGGCCATAAAATTTCTCTTCGTAACTTCTTCTTTTTTCTTTTTAATTTAATCTGATAGCTTAGCTTTAGACCAAACATTTATAGAGGTGGGGAAGATAAAAACTGTGAAACCCGGAATTCAGAAAAGAAAAGTGCTCTTACAACCTGCAACATAATATGCCGTGTGTGTGTCTGTGTGCACGCACGTGTGCCCAGGTGCATGCACGGGCAGGTGTATAAAAGCATTTATGTTGAGACTGGTCTCTAAATACATATCATCATACACGTCATTAGAAAACCTTTTTAAGTCCTGTTGAGAATCAGAAACAGAAATTCTCTTTTATTCTCTTGCATACCTATATACATATCTCCCTTTAAACGACCACTATGATTTTGCTTCTCTGAATAAACTGTGCTGATGTAGAAGCTGCCAGTGATAAAAACGATGCATGCACATGCTGGGCCAGTTAAAACTTCCTGCTTAATTTTCTTTTTCCAAATCACTAATTTCAATATTCCTGTGCAAATTCAAAATAATAAGGGAACCACTTATGGTCTCTTCTTGCAGATCTACTGAGGAAAAAAATACAAGACAAAATTTTCCTTGAAAGAAGACACTCATAGATCAAAACCTTCATTCTAAACAAATTGTTTGCTTTTCTACATAGAAATTTTATAAGATTTTTCACAGTTGATAGTCAATTTAGGGCCAAGTGAAATAATTTGATACACAAATTAAAATCACAACTATAAGAAACGTTCTAAACTCTCCTTCCTCATGTCCCCGATGTTCACTCTTACAGTTTACATTCTCTAAATCCATAGCTGATCAATCCACTCAGCTCCAAGGCCAAGAATTAGGAAAGTTTGAAAGCAGAAAATATTAGTGAGTACATAATCATGCAAGCAAGCAAGGGAAATATCTAAGACTAGTTATGCAGTCCTCACATGGCTTCCAACTGTTGCTCTCAAAATAAGGAAGGGAGTTGGGATTTTCTTTATAGTCCTATGTCCTATTCTAATGGCAATCAGTTCAAAATTTAAATTAAAATTTTGTATATTCCCAAATATGAGTTATTCGTAGAAAATACTATTTCTCAGTGTCTTGCTCTCCAAAGAAATAGGACAGTAAAGAATCATTTGCCTTTTCCCAGCTCCTTTGTGACATGCAGAACAATACATTCTGCTAGCACCCATGACTGCTGAATTTACAAGTTAACGTATAACAAGCATATGCCATAGTTCTAAAATCATAACTTGGTGTTTTTCTTGCTGTTTCCATACTGAAAGTTGTCACCAATGTCCTCCTGATGTTTGATCATACTAAAAGGCTAGGATCAAAATAAGTTTCCTTTTCATTTGGGCAGAATACATGATCTGCCAAACACTGGAGTCAATTTTTCTGCTATATTTTCGCATAACCAGGCATTCCTCAAACTATTCTTCTTATGAAATGCTTTTTCTTTTATATTAACTACCATGAAGTTTAAATCTCATCCATTTCCTGGAAACATATAATTTTATTGCCCTTAAACTGAGGCGATCTAAAAATGTTGCCAATTTAAGTAACAATAGAGAACTGTTGAAAGATGTAGTCGCCAAATTGTCCATTTGTGTTAGATTCCAAATCTTTTTTTCCAATGGATAAAAGAGCAACAGGTTGTAATTGTCGGGGTTGTATCTGTCTCCCACATTACTAATAGGGATTATATGTTCCAAACGTTTCTCCATAGGAAAGGTTTTACTTGTCAATAAGAGATTTAAAAGAACAGTCAGGGGTGGGCACTGACACCTCTCTCTCAAGCCCATTTTAAAGCGTTTGCATCAAGAATATCGGCTTTTGCCTCCCTCCTCTCTACGCTGTTGTAATCCTCTTAGTATCTTCTTTACCACAATGAGTATCAAGATCCTACAATAAAATGCCCTGTGGACAACCATCACCTCTGCCTACATCTCCCTTTAAAAGTGCTCCTTTTCAGGTGATTAAATTACTATTTCCAAGACACTGATCACCTCCCTGTACATAATTGGAGACATTTTTCTGAAAAGATTTTAAAGGTTTCACAGCTAAGGGAAGGCCATTTTTCTTTGAAAGCTTCTCTTTACTAGCCAGTTTATCAAATCTTTGCTTTCTTATACTATTTTGCTTGGACTGAAATTTTATTCAAAATAAATTTCTTCTTCTAATAATACAATAGAGTACAAACTTTTATTTCAAATGAGTGTTTTATCACTTCCATTGAATCATTAGAACCAATTAATAATGATGAAATAACTGTGGATTGTTATTCTCTCATTTTTCAACATTAGAAAATACAGTTTTCTTTTAAAGTCCTACTTTGGCCTAAAATCAAAGAAAGAAGCCTCCTTTGGGTTCTTTTCTTATGATAACTCTTTGATATCCAATTTTTTTTTCAGGTTTGAGCTGGTTCTGTTGAAAGAGTTAGTTACCTAGTGAATTCAATTCCATTTAGCTAACTCTGGGCATCTAGATATTGCAGCCGTGACAAGGATGATCAGGATGCCCTTTGCCCTCCAGGAGCTTCTAATCCAGCATGGAGGATAAGACAAGGACCTCCTGAGGTATCTTCCTAACAGAAGGATCACATCAGATCTTGCCTCTGAATGAATATTTCCAATGGTTCCTTGTTTTCTGCAGAACAACATCCAGAATCCCTAACATTGAGTGAAGACCCTTTATGATCTGATCCCAAGTTTCTCAGTGGAATCTACCATTCTCTCCTTTCTACCCCAATGTGACCTGAAATATGCCCAAACGTGGAGCACTGATTGACTTCAAATCACACAAAAAACGTAAGAGAAACAGCATCGAGTTCAGTATTGTTATAAATGGCACAGAATGGATGCAATGGGGGATCAAGGCCCAAAGCATCACATCTGGTGTGGGGGTTGGGGTGGGGTAAGGAAAGAGTCCATGAAGCAGGCACAAATCAGAGAAGGCTAGAATGATGGGCAGGATTTCAACAAGCATTTATTGAATGCCAACTATATGCCAGACATTGTGCTAGGATATGGCACAAGGGTGACAGAGAAGGCTGGGGGGTGGTGACAAAGAAAGAGAGGTTGAATTCCAGGCAGAGGGATCCACATGGGCACAATAACAGATATCATAGAGTGCTTTCAGAAAACAAAGAATGAACAATCTGGCTTGGCTAACACAGAAAGAACATATTATAGAACAGTGAGCCTTGAAAGACAGGTTATAGCTAAATTTAAAAAATCATTCCTCAAAAATGTATTGTGCACTTGCCCTATGTTCAAGACTTTGTGCTAGCACTCAGGAATAAAAGATGAGTAAGATATAATATCTGTGTCCAAAGATATCTCAATTCAGTGGAGGAGAAAGACACAAAAGCAAACGCCTACACCAAAACACAAACTCTAAAAACAGTTTTCACAGGACAAAAAGAGTTCTGAGAACACAAAACATTTGGAGGTTAATCCCCTCTCTGGAGGATATGAGAAGGCTTCATGGAGGAAGAGGAAGTTGAATGAAGCCTTAAAAGGCAAGGAATGGTGATGGTGGGGGTATAATTCTGGCAAAGAACAACATGCTATGGCACAGGTATACCAAAGTGAAGGCATGTAATGCGACATAATTTCTGAGCTCTGACTGTAGTGTAGGGCAAAAAGAAGATCGAGAAGAGGAGAAGATTAGAAAGGCAAGTTGAGAGTGGGGGAAGACTGGAAGAGAATTATGGACATCAATGAAGGCCAGATGAGGATATACAACTTCAGTAGACAATGGCCAGGCATACAAGTTTTTTGAGCAAGAAAATCATGTTACAGCAAAAACCTAAAGAAGGAATGCCAACAGGATCAGAACTATGGTAAATAAATCTTAACATCAGATGAATATAAAATATAAGAGGCATTAATTCTTAGTACACCATTCAACTTACATTACACCACTTAGACACCATTCAACTTTATTTTCTAAATTTGTTCAAAAATAGACAAGATTAGAAATAATTATTTTATTCTATTTTTATAATTTTACTATTTAGATTGATATGTGCCTTGAAACTAATATTTTCAGTATAAATTTTGACATAATAGACTGAATGGGCAGCATGGAGAAACGCAAAAAGAGCAGGTTGGGACAACGTGTCTTTTGCATTGTCTCTTGGAAAGAAAGGGCCCAGACCAGTTGACAGAAAGTTCTACTTTCTTTGGGCATCTCTTTCTCTATGGGTGTTTTTTGGTTTTGATTTCATGAGTTCAAAAACTAAAGCTTATGCAGCTAAAATGATCAACAACCCTACACAGTTTCCCAGCTGAGAAAAACAAAAGAATCATTCCTTCTTTGGAGACATGTTTAAAATGCCTGTCATAGCTCAGCTGGAGAAAAATTCTGTACTGGTATGATAAATTTCTAAGTGTAAATTAATAAGTAGACCTTCTGGATTGGGTTGTCATGAGTTGGGTTTTCTAAAGAACTCCTGTTCCTTAGATACATTGATCCATAGAGCCAATAAACAGATGCAATCCTAAAGTACAGAGAGATAACAGCCACCTGAAAGACTTGCTGAAACAACTCCAACTTATTAATACAATTGGTATAAAGAAAATATGCTAGACAATAGTACCTGGATAACATAATTCAGGTAGAATTTTTTCAAGTAGGAATGCTATACATTGGTTCAGTTTTAAAGTATTTAATTAATTAATAGTAAGTAAAGATAATACTTGCCCCAACATTTGTAAAATAATTTATAGTTTTCAAAAACTTTCACAAATATCCACTCAGTTACCATGTGTTGACTGAGTGTCCAATACAATAAAATACCCTTATTAAGTACAACAAATAATTCTGACCTTGTTCTGTAGGAAATGGTCTCCCAAGTCCACCTTTTCAAATTGATCAGGTATTTCTTGACTGGTGCCGTTGAAATTAATTGGAAATCCCTCACAAACTTCCCAACTAAGAAAAGTAAAACATTTAATTATTTTTGTTAGAATAAAATGTATTTAATTATAATACTCTTTAATCTACTGGTATAATAATTTATGCATCTTACACTCTACTAGTGAGAGAAAAACCAATTTACAGTTCATAATCTTTTTAAACAGAAATTTGTAAAGTGCTTTGGCATCTATAATTGGGAAAGAGAAGGCTTTAAATTTTTACCTTGCAATTATTTATGATATTGAGGGATTCCATGCCTAATTAATTATTAATAGAACAAAGAAAAGAAAAATGATTTTTAATCTTACAGAATCACTCATGGTGGAGACCATCTGCATTGTTAAATGTATATTCTAAAGACACCAGACCATGAATAATAAAGGATCTTTTTGTGCCTACAATGGTTGTGTTAAGTGTGTTAGTTTGGTATTTATAAGAGAGTCTTAAGAGGCAGCACAGTCTAGTGGGCAAATGGACCAACCACCAAGTGGAGAGGTCGGGTTTCATTCTTAGTTCAGCCAAATTACTTATTTTAAAAGTAAGCCAATCTCTACCTAAAGAAAATTACTTGCTCAACACTGATAGGTTAAGACATAGCATACAGCATGCTATTCAACAGAAACCAGTTCTGGGACTGGTAACAGTATTTTTTTTCCAAAACTCTGTGAAATATAAATAAGAATATAATTATTAAGATTTCAAATGATCCACTTTAGAGTATAGAAAGAAAATGCAAATGGAAACAAAAAATTAAGTAAACTATCTTCAAATTAGTTTGTGTTCAGTAAGGGTAGTTTCACACTGTTATACTTAGGGACGTAGATCTAACATGAATCCATTCAATAAAACAGTATTCATTGCACCTGGGGAAGTAAAATTAAGAAGGAATATACGAATTAAAAATTAAACTCCTAGCTAAAAACTGAAGGGAACGAGTTTAGGCAAATTTAACAGATTGAAGAAAGATTATTGCAATGAAATAAACTTTCTCATAAATGGGAATGCCTATAAGAAAGAATGCTGATGAGTTATTTTCTATCTATAAAGAAAAAGAGAACAAGACAAAACAGACTCAGATCTTCCTGGAAAGTGCAGGCAGTCACTGGGGGGTGGAATCGTTGTTTAAATAACTACCAAGGAAGACCAGGGAGTTTGTCTTTCTACACATATTTAGCAACAGGTTGACACTGGCTAGACTGAGTGACCTCATCAGACTGCTCTTGGTTCTCTGATTCTAGCCCACACTTCGGCCTTTTCACCTGTACGTTAAAGAAAGTTGTAACTTGTTAAATTACAAAATATTAAAGCTATATGGGTCCTTATAGATAGATCACCCAATCCAATGTAGTATCAGTATCCTGCTGCAATGTCCAATATGGTAGCCACTAGCCACATATGCCTATTTAAACTAAAATTAATTTAATTTAAACAAAATTAAAAATTCTGTTTCTCAGTCACATTAGTCACATTTCAAGTGCTCAATAGTCACAAAGTATGTTTCCACCATCACAGGAAGTTCTATTAGACTGTGCCGGATGGTGGTTAAGCCCTCAGTTCTCAAGAAAGACAATCTGGGTTAGAAGCTGGGCTCTATCTGCAGCAGCTCTGTGACTGGGAACTTACTTCTGTGGCTCAGTTTCTGTCTCTGTAGAATGGAGTAATAACAGGATAATAGGTACTGATGGGATTAAAATAATTTTTTTGAATATTAAATAGGTTCTTACCCAATTCATTTAGAACTGTGCCTGGCCTATGGTCAACATTCAGTAAATGCTGGGTTTTCATTATTTACAGATAAGAAATTGACACCCATCTGCTTCTGGACAATGGTGAGCAGAGACGAGCTGGATGCCAACATCTTCTGATTCCTGCTCTTCTTCTCACTATCCCACCACACCTCCAGCATATTGCTTTTGTTTTCAATATAGCATCATCAAATGAGTCTTAAGTATGAATACTCATATGAGAAAACATATTGTTTAATATTTTAATGATTCCATCCAAAATTATTAATTCAGAAACATCCACTAAAAACACTTTTTACATTTCAAATAAAATTAATACCTCTGCAAACCAGGAACTATAGTCTGCTCATTGCACACATGGTTTTTTAAAACTCAAGGAAAGTTAATGATAAGTCTTTTAGGCACTAGCTCATTATATCATAAAATAAGTCAATAAAACAAATAATTGCTTATTTAAGATGATTCGAAGAACAACTTTTACTGTTTCGATCTCTCACTCTGGGAAATCTGAATTAGGTAAGTTAGATTACTTTAACCAAGCACATGTTAATTTACTTGTCACATCCTGGGAGCAGAACAGCATTAGGATCCAAGAAGGTTTTATATGCAACCGTAATGCCACCTCTGGCAAATGCAGTCACCTGGTCAAAGATCAAACCCAAAACAGGGTTCAGTGGAGATCTGAAAAATGGAGAAAACATCAAACCTATCTGCAAAATTATACAAACACCAAAATTTGAGCACAAATAAACAATAAAACATACAATATCAGTGTCTAATAAAATCCAGAAATAAGAGAATTTCCTATTATACAGCACCATTGTTGTTATCCTATACTGACACCTGAAATGCACATTTTAGTTTATTTGGCTGATTTATAATACGCCAACGATAGTTGCAACACATGTAATTTTAAAAAATAATTTCAGTAACAAAAGGGAAGTATTTAGTTGAGAAAAGCAACTAATTGTCATTAATATAATGTTCATTTTTCATGTATAACTGCAGTGTAACATACCCATAATAATCTTTGGAGCTGATAATTAAATGAATCCTTAATATTTGGGTACAAACAGCTATTCTTTTGTGAGCTCAGTAAATGCTATCCTGTTTTGATTTTTCATGTGATATACCGTTAGGTATATTGTTTTAGGTTAATTTGATTATTTGAGAATTAAAATTAAATGGAAAATATCTTAAATAAAAATAACAGCCACTATTCAACGATGAGCCACTTTTTTCTAAATTGGTGACAATGATTTGCTATTTAACCCTGGAATTATAGGACTCAACCACATCACCTGTGTAGTACTGTCACAAATATTTAAACAGACAAATCCAGAATGTGAGACATTCTACAAGAAAAGCACCCGAACTCTTCACAAAAATCAATGCCATGAAAAACAAAACAAAAGATGTGGGAATATTCTAGATTAAAGAGAACTAAAGAAAATAACTAAATGCAATACATGAAGCATATTTGGGTACTGGATTACAAAAAGCTCTAAAGTACATTTTGGGTAGTCTGAATACAGACTATTCATTAGATGATACTACATTATTCCTGACCCTGTTAGGGAGGATAATGAGGTGAGATACAAGAACATCCCATCCTTCAGTGATGTGACCTGAAGCAGTTAGGAGTAAAACTTTAGTGATTGTCTGGAATTAATTTCAAACCGTTCAAAAAAAAAGAGGAAGATATAAGAGAGGTAAAAAAAATATGCAAACTGTTTAAACTGGTGAACATAGGTGAAGAATATATAGATCTTCATTGTACTATTCTTTCAAGTTTTCTGTAGATTGGATATTTTTCAAAATAAAAATTGAGAGAAAAATAATCAAAGAACTAAAAATAGAAGCAGATATTGGCAAAATCATCTTTTGCAAATAAGTAACCTGATGCCCCACATCAACATAATTAGACACATTAGAATTACTCCTTGAAAATTAATATCATTTACTTAGTATATATTGCACATTCTCAATATATTTTAAACTAGATGGAAATAACTTTTTAGACATAAATTTTAGACGTTCCAATAGTAACAAAATGCTGTAATGGTTCCCTAGTGCTTTATACTGGATTCAAAACCAGAAAAAAATACATTATCCTATTAAAATAACAATGATATACAAACAAATATACACCCTTATGAATTGCTCCAGCTACAATCCTCAGTTGATTTTAGAATATTCCAGATATTTAGCATTTTACTAGTTATTCCACAGATATGATCCAATTAATCAAGAACATGTTTGATCTTATTAAAAACACTGCATTATAGCGAACATCATTAAAAACATTAAAAACAAAAAAATTAGTCAGTCATTGCTTTCACTTTAACAATGATATTTAAGAAGAAATCATCACACACACATTTTATTAAAGCCTCTCCTTGTAACTGGAGGAGCTTGCTAAATTATTCAAGAATTCTTGCCGCTTCAAAATTTATCACTGTTTCTATCATTGTAAAAACAACTGTCACGATGTAATTAAATTATATTTTGAAATCTGCCTACGGAAAAAAAGACCACTCCTTACAGATATTTTTAATTCTATAAATTATACAGCATAAGAAATTATTAAGCATTTTAATTTCACTCTACTGGGAAGGATGAAATCAAATTTTGTAATATGCTACCCACAACTAACCCTACCAGCTCCTTCCAAAACCTCCACGGATTTCTGGGTAGATGTGTTTCACTATTAGACATTTTGACTAATAGAATATATATCAAATACAACCAGTTCCTAGTTCTGTCTATGCTATTTTCAGTATAATTAATATATCATCAATTATACTCTATAAACAAAATTATTTTTCCCTATTTCCCCTATTCTGCTTTACAGATAAATAAAGACCTAAGAAAAAATTAAAAGTAGGCAGAAAAGTGTGTTTGTTTCCTGACAAGCAGTTTCAGAGTTCATCTGGATGTGTCCTGTCAAAATATGCATGAATTTCCAGATATTCAACACAACAGCCCAGCTCATCAGGGCCTGCAGACTGCAGCCTTTTTCTTTTCTCAGAAACACAGATAATTTTATGCAGGAATTTACCAATCTACAAAAATTTACACAATGCTCAGCAATAACCAGTAATTATTGTGGGGTAATGTAAGGCGCCTTTGCAGAATATAACTTTGATAGGATAGGGCTTACAAGCTTTACCAATTTATCTTTAGCTGTCCTGTCATTGGTGCTTAAAAGGTTAAGACTTTATTTGTGAAAACAGAGAGAGAGAGTGGGGAATCATGTTGTCCACAGCTTCATAAATCTTGCTTAAGATCCTTTTCAATTACCATCCATTTCTCCTTTAAAAAGGGACAAAAAAATAGAGGAGTGGAAACAGGTCAGGGCAGCGTGCGACAATGACAGTGTGATGGGCTTGGGCCCCCCGTGGCGTTTCCATCTGCTATCATTAAGGTGACTACTCAGACATGAACAAATCCCACTTGCTGTGCTGACAGGCAGACTTCAAGAACTATGACAAGGCATTAAGACAGAAAGTCAGAGAGAGAGAGATGTCATATCCCACAAACAATACTGCCTCACAAAAAACGCCCCTGATATTTTATTGGAATTCAAAATAAAAAAAAAATTCATAAAGGGTGCTACTTGGCTTCTCAACTCTCCTTTTAAATTAGGTTGCCCCTGGAAAGATTGAGGACAGACAGGGAATAAACACTCACTCCTACCTGTATGCTTCACCATAAGAGACCCAAATTTTTTGCTCATTCTTCAGCAAAAGTGGATTCTTAATTTCTTGACCATGCTCATCGTAAAGCCGGGTTGAAGGAAAATTGAGGCCTAGTGGGTTGATGGAAGAACCTTGAAGCCTTTGATGAATCTTGAGAAGTAACTGGTGGTGGGGGAAAAAAATGAAGAAGAAATAACGTGAAATGTGAACATCTGTAATAAACCGTCTCTACTCTGTAACAAATGAAGTCCAAACAAATGATAATTAAATTCACACAGAATGTTAAAACGAGTGTGAAATGACGGCGACGTTTAGCTCAGTGGAAAGGAACAAGATGAGCGCGGCTTTAACCAGCAGGGGGTGCCACAGGCCCGTGGTTGAGCTCTGACCCTCCGGCTCAGGGATGGGAAGCGGATGAGGCCGTCTACAGACAGCATTTTGCTTCTACGCACAGTAACAGTCTCGCTGATAAGTGTCTGAGCTACACATCTTGTTAGGGTCCTTCCACAGCGCGCTCAGGTTCTACCATCGGCAATCCCCCCCGTGCCCAACTAACCTCAGATAACCAACGGTGCAACAATTCACCCCCGACAGGACTGCAAAATAAACACGGCTCTCACCCCACGCCGGTCCACTCAGGAGAACTCTCCCTGGCTGCATTTTAATTAAGAGTCCTGCAAAAGCCCGTGAGCAGCTTCAGTAACGGATGTTCTGAAGTTGTGAATAGGACATAATTGAGGTGTGAAGTATGAAACGCTGTCACGTAATAGTTTAAATAACAGCGTTGCCAGTGTTTGCTTCTCACTTACATTTAGGGGCTCTACATTATCCAGTTATTTCTGATTTAAGGTATATTTCAGAGGAAAGTAAATCCAACTGAACTCTGCTACACATGGAATTTTTTCTGTGATTATCGGTCACCTTTGTTTGTGTTCAGGCCTCTGCTTCTGCTGCTCTGCGCCCACACCCTCCATCACTCTGCTCCCCCCAGCCTGCTGTCACACATGTCCTCTTCTTCCTCCCTTGTCAGTTCCTGTGTCTCTCGATCTCTTCTTACCCTGTAATCTCAGCAGGGATGCCGATAAAGTTGTGGCCTTTTCCTGCCTGGCTGCTGTCCGGGGTGCCTGTCCTGCTCCTTCTATTAATTCCCACTGAAGGTATATTGAGACGTGCTAAATGCTGAGGCCCAGAGGAAAGAAGAGAAGGCTGCAACCCTGTCATGTCTCAGGTTTCCTCGCCTATTGGCCACAAACTCTTGACCGAGTAAGATATTTTCTTTGACCAGCAACTATGTTTATGGAATGCCTAAGAATTAGGCTTTGTCCTAATTAGAGACAAATAATCATATCTCCACTTCATCAGCTCGACATTGACCAGATTTTTAGCCTTGAGCATCAGAAAGGCTGGAAATGAAGACATGTTTTCATTTCATTAAAGTTAATTCTTCTCATCCAGCATAGCCAAGCCCTTTGAATTAAAAATAATGGTTACTATTCTCTTTAAGAGTATAACAGGCAAAGAATACAGAAATCTATATTCTTTTGGTTTTTTCATTGGAACCACAAACATATTTTGAAATCTATGGGTTGTATTTATGAAGCCCTACGTTTATTTCTGTGTGGCCTCAGCCCTTGAGCTCATTTTTTGTTGCCTTCCTATAACTTCAGAAAACATGTAATGCTAATCATTTTTTAAATCACAGTGATTTTGCTTTACAGGCATCACTTTTGTAAAAGGGAAAGATATAAAAGATTTAAGGCCAGATGCAGGAGAGAAAAGTGTACACAAAGAACAGGAGTGTGTGGTAGGGAAGGGACGTGAACACCCGACCACTTAACCAAATTCACTTTCACAGGAGTTGCACTGCAATCTCTATTTTCTCAACTTGGTGACAGACTGCATTTTAGGTATTCAAAGATGAGCATTCGACAGCCTACAGGAGGCAGGGCCTCAGTGCCTTTCATCTCCAGGCCATCAGTTAGGGCTGGGCCATGGTGATAACAATTGTGATAATCTTCACCCATTCATCTTTAAAGCTATCATCACCAGGCCTTTATAGGATAAGAATTTGTTCAGGGACCTGAGAAGAGTGTGAAACATCTTAGGCTAGTGATTGAGACGAGTGTGCACCAAGGGAACAGTCATCCTTAGGTGTCCAAGGGCTCTCCCCAACAAAGAGCTTTATAGTGCCCCTAATTCAAGGTTTTTCCCCAGATTTACTTGCATATAGAAGCAAAGCACAGACCAATTTCAGTGTGCCGTAAGCCAATACAAAAACTTTCTACAGAATAATATTTTCCTATATAAGATAATATAAATGCCAATTCAATTTTAATATGAACCAAAAAGTAAAATATTCTAATGTGAAAAAGAAGGAAGACAGGTAGAGAATTCTAGGACGGCTTTTGTATCATGGTGATTCGTACAGTCAGGGATGTGATAGCAAAAAGAAACCAGCCAAGGCTCTTGATCCTTCTTTCTCTGATCAATCAAGGCAGCATTTCCCATCTCTTCTGGGCCCAGCTAATGATCAGGTGGGAGCCTCCTAATTCTATGCAACTTTTGTGACTGACTGTAAAGGCCAGGTAACGGATACCATCAGGGAGAGGTAAGTGTGAGGGTGCTGAGCTGAAGGGAAAAAAAGGAGCAAGTTTCTGAACAAAGGCCAAGCAACAGGGCCCAAAACACTGGGTGGGCACGTAACCCCAATTTGTAAACAACAGGGTATTCAGTGTCCTTTTATGCAAGACAAAGACCCAAAATAAAGAGCCTGAACATGTCAGTTCTGCCTGAGAAACATCCCAATTGTTTGGAAAATAGGCCAAGGTAAGATGCCTGAGATAAACCCTCTGGACTTGCTCTCAGTGGGCACAGGAGAAAACCAAGCTGCATGTCAGGCGCTCAGAGACACCCTAGACCCAGAACACCCTCCACTGAACATCACGTCACTTCTTTTTAGAGTGTAAACAAGAGGGCAATCCCAGAATCCAGTGTGGCCAGATTTCCAAATCCAAACATAATGAAGGTTAAGATGCTGTTAAGTAAGAGGCTGGGAGTTAACACTACACTAAAGCTGAGAGCCTGAGGAATTCAGAAGTCAAGCTTGAGACTATCAGTCTTCACAGATCAGCAAATGATTGATCTTTTCTCAACAACTTTAAAGACATAATTGTCTAAATTAACTACAAGGAACTTGGAAGACACTGATAGTCATAAATAAACAGTCGGTAAACTCACTCTTTCCATCATATCGCCGGTTTGAGCTGGACTATTAGACCCCAGATCCTTTTTGCTGATAGAAACAGAGATTTCTCCAGTGTCCTTACCATTTTCAAATATCTGCAAAATAAATGCATTCAAAATTAAAAATAAATACAAGCACACACACACATACGTACACATATTCGTACGTACATATATAAACACAAGCAGTCTTGGCTTTGCACAGCACGGTGTCGACTCAAAGTCGTGCATATGGGAACTGTGCAAAGCAAGGACGGCCTGTACGAACATGTGCAAGGAACTGGCGACGAAAATCAACAGGCCAGCGGGGTCTAAAGGAAGCCCCTTGTTTCTCCTTTTGATTTCAGTGTCTTTACCCTGACTGGCCTGAAGGAGGAATCAGAGACTTCACTGGATGCTTAAATGGGGCAAGGGTCAAGGAAAGGTCAGCGAGCAACCAATTAACTTCCTCATTTCATTCTTCTTGAGAAACATAAAGCCACAAATTACGTGAGGAATGTTTGATTTATATTTAAAATATATCAATGTTCGGCTCATCTTTTGATTCACTAAAAGGAAATTCAACCTGACAGATTTATTGCATAACAGTACGATGAAAGCCATCCATTTTAAGTGCATATATGCAACGAGTTGTTGAGAACAGAGATAAAATTCATAACATCACATTACGCAATACTTGCTGGAAAAGAAAATGCTGGCAAATGTTCTGGTCAAAAGTCTCCCAATAAACCAGTGCTGAAGGAGGCCTCCACCGGGGAGCACAGCACCCTCTGACCTTGAGGAGGGCCTGCGTGGAGGACCCACTCGGGATGTGCCGTTCACCACGCACAAAAAGACGCAGGCTGCGAGGCCTGACGAATAATTTAAATCCTTGCTTTTTGTTTTATTTTTTCTCAAAAGTTCTTTTCTTCCCTTTCTGATACACCTACCACATCAGAGTAGCCATTTTATTTATGTCTAGTGCTATTTCCAGAGCAGATAATCTGGGAGAATACCTTAGTTAAAAAGAAAAAAGACTATCTGTTTTACTTCTGAGACAGTTTGACAGTTATTTAATTAGTTTGGGAAATAATGTGCTTTAATAGCACCTCCTTAGGCTTTAGCAAAAAAAGAGATTTTTTTTAAAAAGAGTAATAACGTTGAAGAACTGGGTTTTTCTCTACTCGGTGCTTTTCCTCGCACTGAGAGTGCAGTGGAGATGGCACAGCTGTCAGCCTTGGTGCGCTGATAGTCCACACCCTACAGTATCTTTTGCTAATGGAGATTTTTTTAAATCTCTATTCTGGGTAAAGATATAATTCTGAGCAAGAAATCTCTCAACTTTTGCAAGGAACTTTGTAAACTCAACTGATGACTGCAAACCTATAGAAATAATGTGGGAGGAGAATCTTACCATACCAACAGTCTCTTCAGGGCCCTAATCTGGAACAAAACTCTTAAACAACAGAGGCATTTAGCAATGATTAGCAATGACGGTCACGAGTCTAGGAGGCAGGCATTCTGCAAGGTTAGTGTTGACAAAAGCTCACTTTGGGGACTTATTGACACTCCTCTGTCAAGACTTGCTAGACGTGGAATGGGAGTGCAGCAAATTGTATTCCAGAAATAGCAGTGTCAGTGCTCACTGCCAGACCAGAAACCAAGCAGGACTTGGCCAGCACCTAAGACCTTCATTAGCTCACCGCTTTCTTCAGATCCTAATATCTTCCCTTCCATGTCCAGAAAGTGTTCTCAAAAAAAAGGCGCTGGCCTCCAAAAGCCCTATAAGCCCATTAAAAAAAAAAAAAAGAGGTGTCTTAGTATTTAGTTAAAAGTTTAGGTGTCTAAGTGAAAGAAGGCAGCCCTCCACTAGTCATTCACATAATATGTTTTTTCTATATTTCTACAAAAACAAAAATTCCCCAAGCTGAAATCCTACAAGAGTCTGCTTTTCTTAAGGACCAGCTCTTGCTTTTAAGGTCTATATTACTAGGCCCATTTTTTTCTAAATCTAGGGATTATATTTATTTTTTTCTTCCTTTGATAAGATGTATTTTTATTTCTACTGTCCAATGTCTAAAAAAGACAGTCCTCTAGTATTTCTTTGATTGACTAGTGAGGGGAAAACTAAAAAAAGTCTACCTTTATTTTCCTGCATACGGAAACCCGACTGCTGTATTGGCTTCCCAGTGTCTCTCTGCACGGCCTCACCTCCCTACAGCTCTAAAATTAAATTCTCACCCTTGGAGTGGGATGAAGCAAAAAGCCAGCTGAGGCCGGTCTTGAGTCCCAAGGAGTAAGGTAATAGAACCTAAGAAAAAATGATCCAGATCCTCTTGAACAACATGGTAGCTAACGACTACTGCAGAAAATACCTACGAATAGGAATTCACTTCTACGGCCTTAGTTACACAAAGTACAGAGTTTTAAGGGGGAGTGTTTTCCATGAACTACAGTCTTTTTACTTTCCTTCATGTCAATACTGACTTTTGTTGAGCAGGATTAAATTCAATTAACGCCAATGTTTCGTCATAATGTTGTTAACTGATTCATTCATCTAACCAATATTTATCGAGTACCTACCATGTGCCAAGCACTGCTCAGGTGCTTAAGACGCACCAGTGAACTAAGCTTCCTGCTCTCGAGGAACAGGACAGTAAGTAAATCACACAATATGGTCGGGGTACATCAGGTCTTACGAGGCCTGAAGTTTATACAAGTTAGTGGGCCTTCCTTAACAAAAAGAATGCAAAATTACAAATGTAAAACTAGATATAAAATATTCATTTAAAATGAGAAAAGTAATCACAATTTACACATATTAAAAAGTTCACACATAGCAAAAACATTACAAAATCCAGAAGAAGGCAAAAAATATTTTCATTAATTAACTATCCAAAATACATTTTTTGGCTGAATTGTCTGTGATCAGCTCTTCATATGGTAATTTGGTAACATTTTCTATAAGGAGAATAGAACGATAATTCCATTTTCCCTATAGCATGGTTAATCAAAAAATTTTTTAGTATTGCTTAGAAAAATCTCTCTTAGCTTCACAACTTTGTTGGTCATTTCATAAAAGTTTTTAGGATTGATGTCAAATTTGGGGAAACTTTGATCAGATTTCTTTAAAATATGAGCTGTAAAATGTGGAAGAATTTCCTGCAAATTAGTTGGCCTTGTTAATCACACCACGTTTCTCCTCCACCACTCAGAGCTGCGATGCCGGGCACACTAGTCACAGTCAGGAAGCTGCGTACTCTACGGTCAGTGGGCAGTAGCCATCTTCCTGGGAGCTCTTCCCACACACGGCTAGCACTAACCGAACTATACAGGGAAGTGACTGCAAACCACTAATTACATTCCACTACAGATGAACTAAATGTATCTCCAACTTGATTTCCCCTTAGCCAGACCTCAAAAATGCCTGCTGCCACTTCAACACCACTTGATGCAAGGGAAAGCTCGACAGAGAGGAAGGTGGAGTGGAAACAGACAACGGCCTAAACCAATTAGAGTTAAAATATAATATGTTTGCAAATTTTACAGGAACACGTGGCCACATGCAGACATTGCCAGGGCCTCTCCCGGGATTTTGGAAGGGGCCTACACAGAGAAGGGGCCCTGAAACTTAAGTTTCATCAGCTTTATGGTAAATGCACCTCTGAGGGGGTTAGAAGGTGGTAAGTGCTAGGTAAAGAAGAAAAAACACAGCAGGGCAGGGGATATAGGGTCTGGGATCAGCGAGTGGGACGGGCGTGGTGGTCACCATGTGAAGCAGGTGATGGAACAGACCGTCAGAGAGGAGAGACTGGAGTAAAGACGGGGAGAGAGAGGCAGCCAAGCAGAGAGCCAGAAGAAGAGCGTCAAGAGCAGAGGGAGCCGTTGGGGCAAAGAAACTAAGGCCGGACTGAGTCCAGCACGCTCCAGGCACCTCACAGAGGCTGTGCGACGGGAGCAGAGCGGTGGATAGGAGGGTGAGGAACATGAACTCAGAGGGACCTTTGGAGGGCTTGGAACCCGACAGGAACAGGATCTGGCCCACATGTTTGAAGGAGCATGTGGCTGCTGGCTGGAGGGCAGACTGGAGGGAGCAAAGGCAACCCAAGGGTGGGTGACATGGCTCAAACCAGAGTGTCAGCCACAGACGCTGCAGGAAATGGTCCGCTTCCCATGTTCCTTCCACAGGAATTTTACTTGCTTATTTGTTTATTGTCAGCGTTGGGAAATAAAATTTGTAGCTAGGCTAATATTTCTGAAACATGAAGTCTTCATCTATGGGTGTAAATAAATCAAACTAAACGTAACTGTGCATTGCAGTATTTGTGAAGGCATAAAAATGTCAACAACATACTAAAAGAATTTTATTTACTGTGAAGATTTTATAGAGACAGTGACCAAAACTTAAACCGTTTGGGGTAAGATGACCTGAACCGGGAGTTTTGAGCTAATGTGGTTCTTTGAGGCATTAGCCTGGCATCATTGATGACATCTATTTAAGGACTCGTGTACAGCCTGGTTCAGACCATTACCCGGCCTTTAATGCTGACTCTGCTTAAGGCTGGCTCTGGGGACAGCAAGTTCCCAAACTCTCCATAACTGCTGGGCAGACCCCCGGGGCAGCTCCTCTGTGCGTGAGTCGAAAGCCAAGCATCTAAGCTTCCCAAGGCCCAGGATGCAATGCTGTCAAAAGGCAGTAACAGGATTTACTGCTAGAGATCTGGTGAAGAAAGGAATATAAAATAACCACACGAAACTCTGTGGCATATTTCAGATGAACACCACTAAAGATGCTGAAATAAGGTTAACACACAATGTCTTGGGTTGGGGCCCCCAGGAAGCCGGCTCTGGGACGGAGATTTACCTGTGGGAAGCTGGCTGGGGAGCACCCTCCAGAGAGTCCTCGGGAGGCGGGGCGGGAAGCAGCCGGGGGCAGGGGAGGTGGCAAACTACGATGCAGTTGCACCAGAGGCCTCCGGGGGGAGCTCTGGGGCCGGGATGGTCCCTGAGTCTTGTCCAGAATTGAGCCAAGGGAGCCAGGTCTTCCTGCCGCCCACCAACCAAACGCTGGATGCAGCTGCCCGGCAGGATGAGGGCCTAGTCTTGGGAGGAGCAGC